GGGGGGGGGCGGACCCGGGGTGTTAGAAGGGCTGAAGGCGCAGCCAGGGAGACGGGGGCTCGGGGGGGGAGGGGAGCAGTATTGCAGGGCAGGCTCTTGGCTGGGGGGTGGTAGGGGCAGGCATGGGGGTCTCTGGCCTGGGTTGTGCTGGGGGAGGTGGGAATTGGGGGGGCTGCGGGGAAGCCCTGGAAAGGACGGTGGGGTGAGGGGGGGGGGCTGGACAGTGAGTAGTTTGACGCTATTTTCGGTTTCCTATGATCCCCAAACACTGAAGTGTGAGCGTTTGGAGAGGGGCTGAGTGGGGCCGAGCAGCCTGTCTTACAGCTTCTTGAAAAAATGACTGCTTAGGCGGGGGGAGAGCTAATCCCAGGGTAACCAGCAGCCCTCACTTGCAGGAGAGCAAAGTATCTGTAGGAGCCTCCTTGTTTGATAAAAGCAGATATGCGGTAACTCCCCACACAGTTTTTGTTTACCTTGAAAGTTTCCAGCAACCTCCTGGACTTGATGGTTTATATTCTGCAGGCAAAGTTTGCCTTTCCTGTTTCTCTCACCATCAGGTACTCTGGGATCCCTTAGTGCTGTTTGAAGCCAGCTGAAATTAATATGTTTCAAACATTGTCCTGTCATGAAATAGGCCAGTGGCTTTTTTGGACCCTCCCTGGATGGTTGCAATGTGAATAAAAGTTTAAGTATAGAAGGGAAGCGTCAAGTCTAATGAAAACAGTGAAACCGTTTTGCCATTAAAATTTCCAGTTTAAAAGTGGTGTTTTGATGTTTATTCCACTAATGAACTTCAGTGAGAAACACTGATTATTGGTGCACATACCCAGTTCTCCGAGCTCAAACACCTGAGGCTCAGATGTGAGACAGACTCAAAATGAGATATAATTGCAGTATAAAGCTATCTTTATAATCAGCAAAGTTGCAGCATTTTGGTTGCTCTACATTAGAGAATACTAAGTTTCAACTGGTTAGAAGTAAAATTGGCTCTAAAATTAGTGATGCAGAGAGAGGTGACTTTAAAAAAAATTGAGTTAAAAATGAAACCTGTTTGCTAATAAGCCAGGTGAACTGAATTTTGATTTATCATTTTGGATGCTTTCCTGTTGTTTCTGCTGTTTTTCTAGGATTTTTTATCAAATGCTTCTGTGGTTTTTGAAGAAGGAAAGTAGTATTCTAGTACTGATGTTACATATGCTTTGCAAACTACTGTACTAGCAGGAAATTAGTTTGTATAGCAATTCCTAAAGGGACTACAGTGTTTTTCATAGAATATCAGGGTTGGAGGGGACCTCAGGAGGTCATCCAGTCCAACCCCTTGCTCAAAGCAGGACCAATCCCCAGACAGTTTTTTGCCTCGATCCCTAAATGGGCCACCTTAAGGATTAAACTCACAACCCTGGGTTTAGCAGGCCAATGCTCAAACCACTGAGCTATCCCTATTGCAATTAATAACTGTGTTTTTAATGATATTTACTTCTTTAAAGTAAAGCTGTGTGTGGATTGAAAATAGATGTTTTTCCAGCATCTACAAGTTAGCAACTTCAGTTGCCTTTGGTTAGTCATTTTCCTCTAAATATTGTAGAAAATATGTAGTTTTCACTGTGAATTTTAGGTGACTGTGTTCTTGTGGGATAAAGGCAGTAGGAAGAATAGAATATTGATGCCTTTCACAGCAGGGATTGAAAAATACCTTGTGTTGAAAGGTTGTTACCATAAGGCCTTGCATTGGTGTAACTAAAGTTTTTTAAACAAGTTTAAATTTGGGCAAGCCCCTGGATGGATGTTCTTAAATCGATTTTAAAAATGGCTTATATGTAGCTTAAATCTGAAAGGAAACTACTCAAACTAAGTTGATATAAGCAGTTTTTAAACTGAATGAAGACTGTCCATACAGGCACTTGCATCAGTCTAGATTTGTTTTAAGATGACCATTAGTCACCTCAGTGCAAGTTTGTGTGTAGGCAAGTTCTAATTATCGAACAGTGATATATGTGTAGTCTGAAATAAATTGTCAATTTCTTCAAGCTTCTTTTTATATGACCATGGCAGGGGGAGGGATAGCTCAGTGGTTTGAGCATTGGCCTGCTAAACCCAGGGTTGTGAGTTCAATCCTTGAGGGGGCCACTTAGGGATCTGGGGCAAAATCAATACTTGGTCCTGCTAGTGAAGGCAAGGGGGCTAGACTCAATGACCTTTCAAGGTCTCTTCCAGTTCTAGGAGATAGGATATCTCCATTAATTTAAATTTTATTAATTTAAATTTTAATTTAATAGTGTAGGTCCCTCTACTCAGTAAAGTTGCAGTTAACAAAATTATGCCAGCAATATTAAGTGTTCTAAAGACTAGTGAAGTTGGGAGTGAGAGCAAAAAGATGTGGGGAAACAATGCA